GGCCTAAGAGAAAACTCTTGCGTGTATCTCTCTACAAAATCCTTATCTCAAAATTGATTGCTCTTATCAAAGGTTCTCCTCGACTTCCTTTGTGACTTCCTCAGCCTTATCCATTTTCTCTCTGCATGGAGACATCTCATCAAACACTCTATGAATCTATGCCTCACGTATGATGATTTGAAAACTCAATTAGTGAATCTACCCTAAGAACCTTGTAGAATGTGTTTGAGAATGTTTAGGTCTGAGGGTTTTCAGATTTGGGAGGCTTAGGATGAGTATAGGAATGTTTGGAATGCAAAGGGGCCGTCAAATTCAACTTCTAAACCTTAGGGTGCTGACTGATCACAAGGTCGATTGAGCTGTGTAAGGGTCACTCGAGTAGTCCCTGATGCACCATTGTCCAAATTGGCATATCAGCCTCAATGCTTTCTCGGACCAATTCGGCCCTTAGGCTGTCCTTCAAGTCTCAAATGCATGCATGGATGGATGTATAACTTAAATGCAATTAATGCACATCCATGGACAAAATTGGATCTAAATTTAATGCAACTTTCAATTAATCATAAAATACACAATGTCATTGATCATGAAAATATCATATGTTCACATTGTAATAGCTTTTGAACTCAATTTCATGCATCCTAGAACAATGTTCCCTCACTTAGTTCAATTTCATTTACATTGTTCAATTTTTTTTCAACTTTAACTAATTTAAGTGCAACGTTTGTGAAACCAAACTCTGACACAAATAGCACTTTGTATAGTTCAAAACATTAATAAGCTCTGCATGAAATCCTAATGCATCTTCTAAGTGAATACCAATTAGTTTGTGTTTTAATCATTTTTCTTTTTAGACTACTCCCCCTTTTCTTTTGTCCTTTCTTCTCTTTTGGTTTCAATTAGCACAATTGTGAATTTCGTACTTTATTAATATGCTTCTAAGCATGTTTTGTGAAACCCGGGAAAAATTTAACTGTTTCTGAAAAAAGGGCAAAATGGTAATTTGCCATTATAGCGTGGGTTGAAAACTGGTATTTTTCTAGACCTCGGATGATGAAAAGGACCTCATCATTGAATTTATCTCGCGAAATCTAGTTACCTAGACAAATTTTGTCGAATTCTGAGATAGTCAGATTTTTTACGTTTTTCGAAGTGACCCCCAAAAACAAAATTTTTATACAAATTTTGAAATTTAAAAAATATTTCAAATAAAGTTCATATAAAATATTTTTAGCTTAAATC